CCCCTCTGCTCGACTCCCCTCACTCCTCTCTCTCTCTCTCTCTCTCTCTCTCTCTCTCGCCACACATTCTATAACCTGGTCAGCAAATTGTGTCTTGTAGATCACAAAGAATCTGAGTTCCAAGCCTTGTCGATGATTTTCAAGTAGGGAAAACCAACTTTCCACCATCTGGCAATTTGTGAAGACTCCCCATTCCCCATTCCCCCTTTCCCCGCCCCCCACTCTCTCTCTGTCTCTCCTCTCTCTTCCCCTCTCTCGCTGGGGGTGGAGGTGAGGGTTTTTCATTCTTCTGCTAGTCTGTATTGTTGAGTGGGTGCAGCTGCAATGTGGGACACCTTGAAATATGCAAGTTGTTGAGTGGGCAACATGAGGTTGGGTGCCGGCGGAGGTATGTTTACAATTGAAACCTGTTCTGTTCGATGGGCAAGGCAGGTCGGGTTTCTGATGCCGTGTGTTTGAACTTGAAAATGCAAAATTTGTTGAATTGGCAATGCAGGTCGATGATGCAGAACGAGGATTTAGCTTCCTCAAGGATGGCCCTTTGGATATGCGGATGGATCCTTCGGTATGTCAGCGTTCAACCCTTAGCCTCTTACATTATACTACTTCACACCTGATCCGTGCTGGCTTTCTCTCCTTCTTCAGCCGCACCTGCACCCATTCGGTTCCCTACTGCTCCCCTTCCAGAATCCTCGCCCACGCCTGTATCCAGACTGAATGTTGCCCCAAGTACAGCTACAACGACCAGGCGTTCTGTTCAGGTGAAGACGACAGTCCATCCCACACCTCGCACCCATTCAGTCCTGTCCTTCTCCCCTCCCAGAATCGTCGTCCACACCTAGTCCATCCTACCCTTCTCCCCATTTTGAATCAGATCCACTGCCTGCGTCTTCGGAAAAAAGAAAGTTCAGCAGTTCAGTGAGTGAATCATACAATTCAATCAAATTGAGTTTTATCTGTCTTGGGAGCCCTTGCTGCTTGCTCTCTAACATCGATTGATGAAACTTTGTACGTTTTGGATATAGCATGCATGTTTTGGTTGATTTTTTGAATATAAGACCCACACCTTCACCGCCTAAGAGTACATGAGGAGTAGACGCCTGTGCCTTAGCATTCTAAAGCATCCGTTTGTACACATATGTCGGGGCAGGCTCTATTGGGCTAGAAGTGTGCCAGGCTAGCATGAGGCCCCATCGATCTCAAGGTTCAGACTGGGTTTGCTGTGGTTGAGTTGGCTTCACTGCAATCCAGTGCGTTTTAACTCTCAATCTCATGAACTACCGTTAGACCATAACTCTCTCTCTCTCTCTCTATATATATATATACATGTATCTATCTATCTATCTATCTATCTATCTATCTATCTATCTATCTATCTATCGGACATTTTTAGTTTCTCACCATGTATTCGTAATTGGAACTAAACAAGTTTTCTGTACGTATGTGAAGTAATGCATGACTCTGGTAAGGGCATATACTCAGACCAGGACTTCCCTGGATGTATCTGATTGTAGTTATGCCCTAGGCTGGTCCCTGGGCCGCCCGGCGACCTGGTCATTGTAGGGGGGGGGGGAGCTGGGCCGCCTGGCCAGTTGTCCTGGCCGGTTGGCCACCGGGTGACCCCAGCGCATTGAAGAAGGGAGAGGGGGTTTGATTTTTTTCGGTGCGGGGGGGGGATTTTGCCCCCATAGAAGCTTGTCGAGGCCAAAAAAAAATATAACCGGGTCCAGTAGGCCCGATTTCACTGATTTGAAATCGGGACTGATCTGGGTTGTCGATCTCAAAGATCGATGGCCAAAATGGGCCGTGATTTAAAATCGGTGATGGCAGGAACTGCTTGCCCCCATTCCCTCCTCCACACGACCGCTCTGCCCCCGAAGTCCCCCCATTCCCTCCCCCGCACGATGTGTCCCTCCGCCTGTCGCCATTTGCCCACAGCAACTCCGACAACCCCCGCCGACGCCCGCCATCGCGTGTGACCCCGCTGTCACCTACCGACGCCTGCCATCTCGTGTGACCCCGCTGTCACCAAGGTAAGCGAGAGAGAGAGAGAGAGAGAGAGAGAGAGAGAGAGAGAGAGAGAGAGAGAGAGAGAGAGAGAGAGAGAGAGAGAGAGAGAACTTCAACTTCTTCTTCTTCTTCTTCTTCTTCTTCTTCTTCTTTTTCTTCTTTTTCTTCTTCTTCTTCTTCTTCTTCTTCTTCTTCTTCTTCTTCTTCTTCTTCTTCTTCACTGCTGCTTTTTCTTCTCTTCTTCTTCTTCTTCTTCTTCTTTTTCTTCTTCTTCTTCTTCTTCGCCCCCGGTTCGAGCACCCCTGCCCGCCATCTTCCACCAGCCATCTTCTTCTTCTTCTTCTTCTTCTTCTTCTTCTTCTTCTTCTTCTTCTTCTTCTTCTTGGCCACCGTCTCGTGGCCCCCTGCCCACAATCCTCCACCACCCGTCTTCTTCTTCTTCTTCTTCTTCATCCACGTTTCGTGCCCCCATGCCCGCCATCCTTCACCTGCCGTCTTCTTCTTCTTCTTCTTCTTCTTCTTCTTGGTCACCGTTTCGTGGCCCCCTGCCCGCCATTCCTGAACACCATATCCTATTTTCGTTTTTGCACTCTCCGTCTTCTGCAGGCGCACATGGGGCGCATGGTTTCACTTCTTCTTCTTCTTCTTCGCGCAGGAGCACGTGTGTGTGTGTGTGTGTGTGTGTGTGTGTGTGTGTGTGTGTGTGTGTGTGTGTGCGTGTG